AGCCATTATTGTGAAACAGAGATTCCTGAAAATCTGCCAAGTTGGCATGCTGTGGTGTTGAAGGTAGCTTGGACTGCACTGCCTTGTCAGATCCTTCTTTTGAGAGTTCAGGGGCAGAGTTCATGTTTTTTAGGGGTATAATAAAAATATAGGACGTCAGTCTTTTGGGAGGAGTATCTTTTTAAGGAACATTGTTTAATGACACAGGATTGCCCATAAATACTCTTAATAGCCACACAACAGGAATTTAATGTGTGTATACCAGTCCTCATCCAGTCATTAAGCTTGAAATTGGATTCTTGTTTCAGTACCTGTTAACAGTTGTCTAATGCATACTTTTTTTTACGTCTCAGTTGGTGGTGCCTTACCGTTGCTTTCTAAAGAACCTGCTACGGCCACAAGGAGTCACCGGTTAAACCAAGGAAAGATGCCTCATAACCCTTTGGATTCCAGTGCTCCTTTGGTAAAGAAGGGGAAACAGAGAGAAGTACCTAAAGCAAAGAGACCAACACCTCTTAAAAAGGTGCTTAATATTTTTATCTTAAATACTGAAAATGCAGGATAATGTAAGTTCAGTGTTAGTCTGGAAGGCTGTTAAACCTTCTCATATGGAGCTCTGCATCTCAGTGTCCACTTGTCTGAATTCAATTTTAGCTTTGCTTGGTTTCAAAAAGGAGGAGGCCTTGGAGAAGAAGAGGGTAGTCTGGTAATCAAGGTAAAAGAAAGGGTAATATAGGAAATAGCTTCTCTTCTTTTCATGTGCAAATAGCAAAAAAATAAGTTACAAACTTTAAATGCTAGTGATAAACATCTTTTGAAATGGTCTATATATAAGTACATGGTAAGAGTAATACTTTGTTGTCTTTGTGACATTGAATTGATTTGGGTTTGATGCATATTTGTAGATTATTCTGAAAGAAAGAGAACAAAGAAAACAGCAGCACCTGTTAGAACAGAAAGCAGCACAGAAAGATGAAGATAACATTTGTCAGCCTGCAGAAAGTACTACAGAAAATGAAACACTTCCTGAGAATAATCAAGCAGGTAACTGCTGTCATACAGTATGTAGCTGAAAATTTGCTAGTGAGCACATTTAGTACTTTGGAAAATATGTACCAAATGATGCCAAATGAAAACTGTAACTTCAGAATTTTCTAAGATTCATCCCAGGCTTATCTGGACTTTAAAGTGGGTCGAAGCTGATAGTCAGTGTAGTTGAGCAACAGGGGCTCTGATAACTGTTGCACACTTCCATGCCTGTTGGTTTTATGATATGTTGTAATGAGAGTTCCTGCATGTCTCTGGCAGTTAGTGAGGTTTAAAGTGAGGTACAGTAAAAAATACTATGAGATTAAAAAAATGTCTG